GAGCACATGGTGGAAGAACCTTTGCGAACTGTGACAGCGTTGCCTGCAGGTACCACCTGAACTGCACTGTAGGCACATCCAATGCTGAGGATGTTGAGCATGGCATGGAGGAAGGTCCGTACCCGAACATCAGGAGGTCCCAGCAGTGGGTCACCACGTAGCTTAAGTAGCAGGGCAATGGGGAGGTGGAAGAGGCATCGAAAGATAAGCAGCTCCAGCGAGGGCAAGTGGGAGGTCTGGTAAGCCATACGGGAGAAGGGGCCCACAAAACCAGCAGACAGGCCCCCACCCAGCAGGGCCACAAATAGGCCTTTGGTGGCATTGGAAGGCCCACAGCGATGTTGATGGTGCGAGGGGAGACTGGCTGGAGTGGAGGGTGGCGATGGCTGGGTGAAGTCAGGTAGGTTGAAATAGGGATGACTGGCATCCTGTTAGGGAGAAAGGAGCTTGGACATTAGGGCAGTCACAGCCTGGGGAACTTGGGGTAGGGTGAATGCCAGGTTGAATCTGGGACCCTTTGGGATAGTAGAGAAACTTGTAGGAGATAGAAAGGGCCTGGAAGATAGATACGAGGTGGTAAAATGTGGGCCTCGAGCATCTAAAACAGGAATCGGGGTGAACAGTCCACGAGCATCCTGTTTCTCTGGGTAGTTGTTCCTGGGAGGAGAAAAAAAAAGACCTAGGGATGCTCTGTTCGTTTGAGGAAGGGAAGGCAGCTCAGGCACCATGGATCTATATGATGTCACAGGCTCCAGGGACTTCTGGGTCCATCATTATGAATTTCATATCTAGGTGACCCCAGGACCACCAGGACATTTTAGAGGAGGAGGGAAAAGGGAATGTCCAGAAGTTGACAGTTGCCCTTACTATGTCCCCTTGCCCCAGTACTCACCATCTCTCCTTGGACTTCCTCCTCTCCTCCTGACTCAGGTTGCCTAAGCCTCTTCAAAGCTCCAGCCATTGTGATGTGGTTGGAGTGGAGCTGAGGTTCTTCCCTAGAACCTTCCTGAGGGGGATGGGGGCTATTTTCTCATTAATTCCAACTCTTCTTTTTTGTTTATCTTGGGGATTGGTTGAGATTTTTGGTGTGGCATGGGTATTTTGGGGAGGGAGATGTGATAGGGTCTCAACCCTATAGGCCAGGTTTTCCTAGAATTCACTATGTAGTTATAGGTGTGTACCACTATGCCCAGCTCCCAGTTCTCCTTTTATTTATTTGTTTGCTTTGAGATAGGGGTCTTCTTATAGCCCCAGCTGACTTGGAACTCACTAAGTATACCAGGCCTCAAACACACACAGATCTCCCATGATCTGCCTCCCAAGTGCTGGGATTAAAGGTGTGCACCACCACCCCTGGCCTTTCTCTTTGTTTTCTATATTTGTCTCTATGACTAATTCACCAAATTCATATCCCCCCCACCCTTTCTCTCTCCTTGTCTTCCTAGCTAGCTCTGTAATTGAGACTGCTTTGGCTTTAGTTTATGTTTTGCACAACAAAAGTTGTCTTTTTTTCTTTCTGGTTTGTGTGTGTATGTGAGCCAGAGGACAGAAAGAGGTATCATTCCTCAGGCTCTGCCCACATGTTTAATGTATGTTTATTCATTTATTTTTATTTTATTTTATTTATTTATTTATTTATTTTATTTATTTATTTATTTTTTGGTCTTTTTGAGACAGGGTCTCCCTGTAGCTCCAGCTGTCCTGGAACTCACTATGTGGACCAGGCTGGCCTTGAACTCACAGAGATCCTGCCTCTGCCTCCCAAGTGCTGGGATTAAAGGCGTGCGTCACCACGCCCGGCTTTACTTATTTTTTAATTTAATTTTTTGTTTGCTGTGCTAGATAGCTTTAGTGTCAACTTGACATACCTGGGTTGAGGGAGCCTCAATTAGGGAATTTCCTCTATTGGACTGGCCTGTGGCCATGTCTGAGGGGCATCTTCTTGATGAGTGATATGGGAGGGCCCAGCCCACTGTGGGTGGTGCCACCCCTGGTCAGGTGGGCCTGTGTTGCATAAGAAAGCAGGCTGAGCAGGGGCTAGGGGGGCAAGCCAGTAAGCAGTGTTCCTCCATGGCCTATGCTCCAGCTCCTGCTTCCAGGTTCCTGCCCTGAGTTCCTACCTTGGGCTCCCTGGTGAACTGCGACCTGGGAGATGTAAGCTGAATAAACCCTTTCCTCCCCAAGTTGGTAGTGGTCAGAGTATTTTGTCACAGCAATGAAGAACGAACTAAGACATTTGCTTTTTTGTTTTTTGAGACAGGGTCTCCCTGTAGCCCCAGCTGACCTGGAACTTACTATACGGGCCAGACTGGTCTCAGTCTCACAGAGATCTTCTACCTCTGCCTGGGATTAAAGGTGTGCACCGCCATACCCTGCTTAATTTAATTATTTTTATTTTATGTGTATACGTGTTTTGCCTGCATGCATGTAAGTGTACCACATGCATTCAATGCCCACAGAGGCCAGAAGAGGCCATCAGATCCCATGGAACTGGAATTACAGCCAGTTGTGAGCCATCAAGTGAGGGCTGGGAACTGAACCCAGGTTCTCTGCAAGAGCAACCAGTTAGTGCTCTTCACCAAACTATCTCTCCAGTCCCCCTTTTTTGCTTCTTTTATTATTTTAATGTGTGTGTATATATATATATATATGCATATATATATGCATGTGTGTATGTATGTGGGCATGCAAGCTACAGCATGTACCTGGAGGTCAGAGGACAACTTGTGGGAACAGTTCTCTCCTTTCACCATGTGGGGTCAGGGGCTCAAACTTAGATTGTAAGCTTGGCAGCAGGTACCTTTACCTACCAAGTCATCTTGCCAGCCCTCTTTGTTAGTTCCTGAGACAGGGTCTCATGAAGTGGCTTCAAGCTCACTATGTACCCTGTAGAGCCTGGCCTTGAACTCTTGATTCTCTTGCCTCTACCTCCCAAGTACTGAATTACCAGCATGGACCACCATGTTTAGCTTCACAAAGGTGTGAAGGAATAAAGGGTTGGGTTTGGAGTTTTGGTTTTTTGTTTTATGTTTTTGGTTTTGTTTTTATTATTTATGTGTATGAGTGCATTATTGCCCGTTTGTATACAAGCACACCCGTGTCCTGCAGTGCTGAAGTTTAGAGGCCAGAAGAGGGTGTTGGATCCCCTGAAACTGGAGTTATGGACCATTATTTGCTGCCTTGTGGGTGCTGGGATCCAAACCGTGTCTTTTGCAAGACCAGCCAGTGCTCTTAACTGCTGAGCCATCTCTCCAGCCCATTTTTGTTGTTGTTGTTTGTTTTTCTTTGGTCTTTTTGAGACAGGGTCTCCCTGCAGCCCCAGCTGGTCTGGAACTCACTATGTAGACCAGGCTGGCCTTGAACTCACAGAGATCCGCCTGCCTCTGCCTCCCAAGTGCTGGGACTACAGGTGTGTGCCGCCACGACAGCTTGTTTTTCTTTTTTTCTTTCCTTCTTTCTTTCTTTCTTTTTTTCTTTTTTTTTTTTTTTAAGATAAGGTCTTTCTGTGTAGCATGGATAGCTCTGAGTGGTCTGAAATTTACTAGTAGACCAGGATGGCTTTGAACTTGCAGGAATCCTAGTGGAGTGTCTCCACTTCCCTAGTGCTGGTATTACAAACTTGAGCCACCATGCCCTGCAAGGAAAGAAGTTTTGAGAGTTGGCTCATCTGTCTCTGGAGTTTTTAATTTTCCACCAGGGAGGAGTCCTTGGGATTATCCCCCTGGAGTTTCAAGAATGTGTTTCTTATGTGTGAGTCCCAGGAGGTCCACAGCAAGGCTTCTTTATTTCCTGCAAGTACACAGAAGTGGGTATTTCTATTTCTGCTGGTGGAGACAAAGTACCAAGATCAATGTTGATCTGCACGACTGATCATCGATGCATGTCCCATTTTGCAGGGTTGAGGCCTTCCATGCCTGGAGGCCTGATGATAGTCCCCTAGGCATTTCTAGGGGAGGAGAACACCGGGAGCTCTTGTCTCTGACGGTGCTGATTCTGGGTCTCTAGGTCCCACTGGGTCCAGTTGTGAGTCTACCATGTTGTATGTCTGAGGCCCAGGAGAGCATGTGTGGTGTGCGTGTATATGGTGTGTATTTGAGCGCACAAGGTGCGCTTTAGGGCGATGTGCACCGCTGAGTGAAGGGCAAGCAGAGGGAAGGGGAATACCTTCCCCGGAGTGAGTGGTCTAGGGCAGTGCAGCCCAGCCATCGCCCCGCAAGGTGTCCACCCAACCGGTGGCCCTGGGTCTTTCATTTCCTTGCGTGGGATCCACCCGGCCGGGGCCATCGGACGCTAGAGCCCCGTGTCGGTGTCGGCTGCGCTGCGCTGGCTTCCTCTCGGCAGCAGCGGCAGGCGCTGTGGGGGGAGGGAGGGCTGTTTCCGGGGGTGGGGGTGGGGGTAGGACCGGGGCGGGGGGAGCCGATGATGTCAGCAGCGGCGGCGGCGGCGGCGGTGGGGCCGGGCCGGGGCCGGGCGCTGGGGGGGCCGGAGCCGGAGCTGGAGGAGGGCGAAACCCGAGCGGCCAGGGGCGGCCAGGGTGATGAGCCGGGCCTGGCGGACGCAGCGCCATCGCAGTCAGGTGGGCCCTGGGGCGAAGCCGGCAGGGCCAGGGCGGGCCGAGCCAACTACCTGGCCCTTTCCCGCTGCCCGGCACCGGGGGTCGCGCCCGGCGACCGCTCCCCTTTGGAGTTGACCTGGGGGCGCAGGAGTCGGGGGCTGGATAGGCCCCGCCCCCCGGGCGCGCACAGCGCTGGTGGGGGGGGCGACTGCAGGGGCCGGGGTATGGCGTCCGAGCGAGCGGAGGCTGATGGCCTGGGGTTGTGGAAAGGGTCGTGTGCATTCCACCCATTCTGAAGCCTAATGTCCCCCTTCCTCTGTGGAGCAGGTTGGGGGTGGGGTGGGGCGGGTGTGAGCCGGGGCAAGCGCTGCAAGCTGCTGGGAGGGCGATGGCGTAGGAGCCAGGCAGAGAGGGGGAGGGGTGGGCCTCTGAGCGCCCCAGAGTAGGGTGTGCTGGGTGCGCAGTGCGAGCAGCGGCCCGGAACCGCCGTGCCGTCGGACAGGGTTGTTGCTGTGAGTCTTCTAGGTTGTGCCTCCTGCAGGGCTGTGGGGCAAGGTAAACTGCTCCTGGGCACCATAGTGTTGGCTAGTCTGGCACCAAGGGGGCCTGCGTAGGGCCCTCCCCATTCCCTGAAGATAGAAAGCCAGGAGGAGTACCCAATGGTACAGAATCAGAAGACGTGGCCTTGTGACTTTAGATGACAGGTGATCATTTTAAGAAGGGCAGAAATCTTAAGTGTGGAGTCTGGGGTTATGTGTATAGTCTCTGCTAGCATGTGTTTTCTTGCATGTATATCTTATGTTGCACATATGCACTGTTTATAAACATTTATTTTCTGCATAGCTGGCATGGTGTTTGTGTGTGCGTGTGTGTGTGTGTGTGTGTGTGTGTGATGGAGGGGGCCTGAGTGCAGGGTGTGTGTGTGCCCAATTGAAGAGGGCAGTTGTGGACCTTTGAATCAGAAGATGTCATGCCTGGGTCCCATTTCTGTATCCCTGCCAAGGTGTGGTCCAGTTGAGGACAGATGTGTGGATAGATTTGTGTGTTTGTGATGAACAAGTTGCATGGAAGTTGCATGTCTGGAACTCAGATCCACTGATCAGGAGGAGAGTGACAAACTGATGCCTGTGGGTCAGCTGGCACTGGTATGAAGGGTTCTGGATGGGACATACAAGATGTCTTTACAGGATCATGGGCAGCCAAGCAAGGGAGCAGGGCCTGGCAGGGAAGCAAAGGGAAGGTTCTGTGTTTGCAGTATTCTCCATGGGATTCTTTCCTGCCATTGTTTGTAGGAGCCTGTCTGGGCTGTTGGGCTGGGAGGTGAGCTGGTCAGAAAATACTTGGGAGGAGGTGGTATGACAAGGGCAATGTGGGCCTCAGACCCAGGAGATGGGTAGAAAGCTCTGTGTGCATGCCTACCTTCTGTGTGCTGAAATGGTGGTGTGGGGCTGCTGGGGATGTTATGGGAAGGTGGGAAGATAAATATGAGCGAGAGCAAGGGCAGCAGGAATGAGTAATAGATGTTGGGATGACACTGCTCCTCTTTTTTGCAGGATCTGTATTTGTACCCCTTACCTGGTATGTCAGGGTCATAGGGAGGAAAGTCCTGGCTCCTGCAAGGGAAGTCAGCTTAGACAGAGTGGCTCTTTGGCCATGTTTATGTAAAGGCAGGGTATGACTTTTGTCACTAAAGGGAAAAAAGGATCATGAAGTTTTAAGTCTCCTCCTGCTTTGTCCTTTCCCTTTCTCTGCCCCCCTTGCGGGTATCTCTGACGCACACTGGGCCCTACTCCTGTGACAGAGAAAGAGCCTTGGACAGAACTTGCTCACTAAGCAGGTTCCTCAGAACAGGTTTTCCTTACCTGTGGGGCCTGGGTCCTTTGTGGGGATAGGAGGTACACATGTGTGCTCAGTCCTCTTGCAAACAACGCTGTGTACTGCACCTGGCCTGTGAAAGAGTGTGTATACATAGGGGAGCAGAAAGGCACGTTGGTGGGGAGGGCTGGCTGCTGTGTGAGGCCTGCAGGACCAGTACAAGACAGGAACCCTCTACATTGGAGCTGAAGTATTCTGGTGCCTCTACAGCTAACTCACTGGCCTCTTCTGTGAATGTGCCTCTATCCACATCTGAAGATGAGGCTAATAACCTTCGCTACCAACCTTCCAACAGCGTATGGGAAATAAATCTGAGAAGCAGCAACAAATTAGGAACTGTGCCTATGCCGGCCTGTTCCAGCCCCTGTCAGCTCTGTGTTGTTGCTGCTGCTGCTGCGAATCCCCTTCCCCCAGTTTCACTAGTAACAGTAGCCATAAACAGTTGGTTTACACTGTGTACCAGGCACTGTTCCCCGGTTTTTATGTACCTTCATCATTCATCCTCTCATTGTAGGCACTCTGATGGCTTCACTTTTTCAGATGAAGCAGCCGAAGCCCAGAGAAATGAAGCAATATGTTCCAAATCACTTGGGCAGTAAGAGGTAGGGTGTATTTGAACCTAGTTAGGCTCTAGATTCTGTACTCTTGACGACTTCAGTACTCTGCTGCTTTTTTTGGTACACACACAACACACACACAAACACATTATGCCATGCTCGTACTGCAGTTTCTGTGGAACTCAACATCTCACTAATTTTTTTTTTTTTGGAAACAGGGGCTCACTCTAGCCTAGGCCAACCTCATACTTATGGAGTCCCTCCTGCCTCAACCTCCTGAATGCTGAGATGTGATGTGAGCTGCCACACCTGGCTCACCAGTCCTTTTTTTTTTTTTTTTTTTTGGTCTTTTTGAGACAGGGTGTCCCTGTAGCCCCAGCTGTCCTGGAACTCACTAGGCTGGCCTTGAACTCACAGAGATCCGCCTACTTCTGCCTCCTGAGTGCGGGGTTAAAGGTGTGCGCCACCACGCCTTGCACCAGTCCATTTTTGAAGTCTGCATAGGCAGTGCCCTCTGTAGTCTCAGCCCAGGGTGTGAGAACCTGAGTATCTGCTGCCATGTCATGTGCCCCATTGTGGCACCGAATGTTGATGAAGCAGAGGAAGTTGAGAGATTGCCCTTGCCTCGGGTCATAAAGGGCAAAGCAGGAGGTGCATTTGAGTTAGATCTTAATAATTTGGGAAAGTGTTGGGAAGTGATAGTGATTAGTTTTGTTTTGTTTTGGAGTTTGTGTGTGTGTGTGTGGTATATGCATGAGAATGTGCCAGTATAAATGCCTGTATGTATGCATGCAGAAGCCAGAACAGATGTTGGGCATCTTCCTCTGTTGCCCTCTGTCATATTGCCTTGAGACAGGGTTTGTCACTAAGCCAGAACTTGCCATTTGGGCTATGTTGGCTGGCCAGTGAGCCCTAAGAACACATCTGTTTCTGTCCCCCATAGTTGGTGTGACAGGCATGCTCTGACATGTTCTGCCTTTTGTGTTTGTGTGCTGGGGATTTGAACCCAGGTGCTCTTATTTACTGAGCTGCCTTCCCAGCCCTGTTTTCTTATATTATTACATTATTTGTGTGTGTGGGGGGGGGGTGCACATGTGCCATGGTGTGCATGTGGAGGTCAGAGGACAGTTCACAGGAGTCAGTTCTCCCCTTCCACCAATGTATATCCTAGAGATTAAACTGGGGTTACCAGGCTTGTGTGGAAGACCCTCTGAGCCATCTTGCCTGCCTAGGTTTTGGTCTTTTGAGACAGGATCGCGATATATAGCCCCAGGCAGCCTTGAACCCTTGGCAGTCCTCCCACCCCAGCCTCCTGAGTGCTGGGATCACAGCATGAGGACCATTTTTAGCCCATGAGTTCTATAGACTTAAACTGCAGTTAGGGGTGACAACTCAGTAGGAGAGCAGGGTAGAAGAGGTAAGCCTAGAAGCAAGGGGATAGTTGGGAGTCTCTTGCCTCAGGACCTGTGAGTGTTAACAAAGACTTAACTAGCTTGGCAGTCCGAGGATTTTAAGGAGAAGGCTTCCAAGGCCATTTCCAGGCTTGCCGCAGTGTCAGCCAGACTTGGTGGCTGCTGGATTTGGGAGCAAGGGAAAGGGTGGAGTCAGACATGACATATTTAGCACTTAGCACGTGAGAGTTTGTGTGGTGATTTATGTAACCAGCTGGGCTGCGATAGGCCCTCCAGGGCAGGATCCAGCAGTATGACAGAGGGAAAGATTTGGCACCTGGGCTCAGGCAGGCCTGGATTCAAATTTTGACTCTGCTACCTACAAGCTGAACAAGGTATATCCCTTGAACAAGATATATCCCTCTCTGAACCTCAGTTTCCTCTTTTGTAAAATTGGGAGAATATAAATACCTATGGTAGCCTATTGTGGGTGGCTGTTTTGAGGATATAATTAAATGAGACAATGTATATAAAGCCCCTAGAAATGTATTGGGGAAATTGTGAGTGCCCCAAAAGTTATAATAATCACTTTGGCACTATGGATGGCTTCCTTCTTGAGAGTAGAGACTCCAGAAAGACCTGTTTGGCTTTGTGTTTGTTTGTTTGTTTGTTTGTTTCGGAGGGGCAGATTCTCATCATATAGCCCAGGGTGGCTTCAAATTTGTGATCCTCATGACTCAACTTGCAGAGTGCTGGTATTTTTAAATGCTTGTGCCACCAACACAAATTCTTTCATTTACCAAAATCCTGCTTATCTCTTTGGGGCTGGGGTGGAACTCAAGACCATGCTAAGCAAGCACTATCACTATGCTACACCCTCAGCCTCTAGATTTTTTTTTTAACCTCTCATTATGCACTAGGCGCTATACTTCAATGAACAATACAGACAAATATTCCTACCTTCCCTCCTTGGATTCCACAGCCTAGAGATAAATTAAGCAGTGTGTTTTACTAAGGGATATGAAGGAATATAAAGTAGGATGGGGGATATGAAGTTGTGGAAAGTGGAAAGTGGCAGGGAAGGCCCCTAGGCAAGGTAACTTGGGTCAAACTTAAAGGAGGTGGGGCAATGGGATATGAAACTGTGTGGAGGAAAGAACTAGATGCAGAGAACAGCAAGAGGCGGAGCCTTTCCGGTGTATGTGCTCAGATCCTCGCATCAGCAGTGAAATCACATATGCAGTCAAGAATAGAGACAGGGCTGGAGATGTAGGTCAGTGATAGAGTGCTTGTTTAGCCTGCTTGAGGTCCTGGGTTCAGTCCCCAGTACCCCCTACCCCCCGCCTCCAAAAAAGAATAGAGAAACAGTAAGGACAAACAAATAAAATATTTAAAACCACAAACTTAGAAACAAATCCAGAAGCCCAAATTCTGCCTTTTTTTCTTCATCACTTTTCCCACCATTTTGCAGGGCTGAGTTCCAAAACTAGTTGCAGTCATTCCTCGGTATCCAAAAAAGATTGGTTCCAGAATGCCCCATGGGTACTGAAATCCATGAGTGTTCAAATCCCTTGTATAAAATATTCCATTTTATTCTGGTATAAATATACTGGTAAGCCATTTGTGGTAGTGCATGCCTATAAGTCCAGACTAGGGAGGTGGAGGCAATAGGATAAGGAAGGGGTTCAAGACCACCCTCAATGAATTCAAGACCAGCCTAGGCTACATGAGACCCTGTCTCAAAATAAACAACAAAAAAATGGCATAGTATTTGCATCTAACCCATATATATCCTCATGCATACTTTGTTATTTCTACTTCTATTTCTTTTAAATTTTATTATTTTTATTTTATGCATATGTATATATTGCCTGCATGTATGTAAGTGCACCCATGTCATGCAGTGCCCTCGGAAGTCAAAGGAGGGCATTGAATTCCCCTGGAACTGGAGTTACAGACAGTTGTTAGCTGCCATGTGGGTACTGGGAATCAAACCTGGGTCCTCTGCAAGAACAACCAGTGCTCTTAACCGCTGAGCCATCTCTCCAGTCCATCTACTTATATTTAATACCATATAAATGCTATATAGTTTGGGGGGCATGTTTTGTTTTATCTTGTTTGTTTGCTGAGTCAGGGTTCTCCTATGTGGCTTTGTCTGGCCTGATACTGGCTATGTGGATCAGTCTAGCCTGGAACTTGGAAGGATCTCCCTTGCTTCTCCTCAGTGCTAGGATTTCAGGCATATTCTACCATACTTGGCAAAATAGTTGTTATATTTTATTGCTTAGAGACCAATGCTAAGAGAGTAAAGTTTGTATATGTTCACTACAGGAGCAAACTTTTTTGAGTATTGTTCATCCCTGGTTGGTTGAGTCTACTAGTTATTAGCTCATTTAATCTTTACAACAATGCTGCACAGTGGGAACTATTCATTGTTGTCACCATATAGACAAGGAAACTGAGATGGAGGTTAAGTGTCTTTACCTCCCATGAGCCCTTCCAGGACACTGGCCAGTGATGGGGTGGTTGAACTGGTCTAAATTACAGTTGTATTACCAACAAATCCAAGGACAGATCACCCTACCCCTACATTCTCTTGACCTGAAGATGGGTTTACAGCATTTAATTTCCTCACTGTGATCATTCTGAGTGTTGAGATGGTGTGGATAAAATACTTTGCATACAAGTGCTGTACTTTGCCTATCTGTATTTCAAACTGGCAGCTACAAAGACTATGATGATGGTGATTCTGCATGATCTCTAAGGACAAGTCCAGCTTTGGGTCTGTGTAGTTCTAAGAAGTCCCAACAGGCCTCGTCTAGTATCCTGGCAGTTTACACTCAGTTACATATCTGCCTGCACCCAGCCTGCAGTATATGGTTGTACAGTTGGGCAGGCCTGGCCACAGGGGTGAAAGGAGACTGGAATTGAACCATGACTTTGCTCACCTTCACATAGTTTTCTGGAGGAAAGAGATACCTAATTTTTGCAAAAGTGCCAGGTAGGCTAGTGGTGCCCCCGAGGGAGCTGTTAACATCCTTTATCATGGTGTAGCAAAATCATTGGGAATACAGGCTTAGGAGCCAATTTTTTTGTTGTTGTTGTTGTTGTTGTTGTTGTTTTGAGACAGGGTTTCCCTATGGCCCCAGCTGGCCTGGAACTCACTATGTAGACCAGGCTGGCCTTGAACTCACAGAGATCCGCCTGCCTCTGCCTCCCGAGTGCTGGGATTAAAGGCATGGGCCACCATGCCTGGCAGGAGCCTATTTTTGTAGGATCAGATCCCAGTCTAGCTTCTAACAGATTATACAATTTTGAGCAAGGTACTTAGCATGTCTGAGCCTGTGTCATCTTAAAGTGGGGAAGTGAACTGCTATCTTTAAAGGTAGTGATAAGAAAAATAAAATAAAATAATGCAAATAGACGGCTGTAGCTCTCATGGAAGAGAGTGGGAGACCTGAATACAACCCACAGAGATGGGACCCTGTCCCCTGGGACTCTCCACATATCCATAATCTAACAACCAATGAGGTAACACGTAACACTTGCTCTTGCTCTGTACCAAACAGAGTGGTTGAAACTTTGGGATGTTGCCAGATGTGATGGTGCACTTCTTTAATCTCAGCACTAGGGAGGCAGAGGCGGGTCTGAAACTCTCCCTGGCCCCATGTCTAGGCTGGCACCATGCCCCCCCACCCCTGCAGAGGTGACATCCAGACAGAGTTGTATGGTAAGATTGTCTCAAATACAAAACACCAAAACTAGAAAAACCTTTGGAGTATTACTGTTTACCACCTTTTATTCCTGCCTAAAAGAGGTATCAGGGCTATCTTTCAGGGAACATGAAGTAAGGGATGGTTTTTTTAGTCCAGATAATTTGGGTAATCAATGAAAAAGGAACATTTTTATGAGAGTCAGAACTGATGAGAACACTTCTGAGGATGTGTGACCTCTGGCAGCAGTGTGTGGAAGAGACCAGGCTGAAGGAGGGTGAATGAGAGGAGCCCATATGCTCAGTTAGCAGTCCTTACTGTTACTATCAGCCGTGTTGGCTTTGGACAAGAGAGTTTTATGGCTCTGGAACTCAGACCTTCAGCTGAAAAACAGGCACCCAAGACTCTGCAGTGCCCATGGGAGGAACAGCTGTGAGGTGCTTTCGCTGGTGAGTGGTGTAGCTTACGTTCTCACGTTTGGGTTGCCTGCTCTTCCATTTGGATGAGCCTCCCAGCAAGAGGTGAGGTAGGGGTTGCATTTCCCCCTCTTTAAGCCAAGCCAATAGGTCTCAGAGTAAGGAGTAGGATCCAAGGCCCCTCACACTTGGTCTGGTTGCCTTTCCAGTCCCCTCTAGAAACAACCACGTATATGTGAGTCAGTGGTCCCCTGGTACTGGACTTAAAAAAACATCTCTAAAGTTTCTGGGGTTGGAGTGTGTACAAGGAAGCACTCTCCTAATTTGATAAAAGACAACATACAAATCTTATTTCCTTGAGTCCCAAGATTGGACCAAAGGGATTAGAGAGTGATCTGTCAGGTTGTCCTAAACCTATGGAATTGAACTGTGCTATTTGGAGGTGAATTGGGGATATGCAAATTATCTTGTTGCTGTACTTCCCTGGGCCAGCAGAATAAGGCTCTGTAATTATCTGTGTGACCTTCTTGGTCTGATTAGATTTGGCCAGATAACCTGACAGGCTTCTGGGAGAGATCAGGGTCTGCAGAGCAATCCTGGTTTCTCTGACTTTGCTGTACAGCTGCCCACTGCCTGGAATCCTTTCCTTTCAAGTTCTTCTTTTTCTTAAAAGTTTTTTTTTTTGTTTTATTTTTATTTTATGTGTATGTGTATATTGCCTGCATGTAGGTAAGTGCACCCGTGTTGTGCAATGCCCAAGAAGGTCAGAAGAGGCTGTTGGATCCCCTGGGACTGGAGTTATGGACAGTTGTTAGCTGCCATGTGGGTGCGGGATTCAAACCCGGGTCCTCTGCAAGAACAACCAGTGTTCCCAACCGCTGAGCCATCTCTCCAGCCCCCTCAATTTCCCCTTTTAAGAACCTTTCCTATCTCTTCTTAATTCTTCTGACACAATTTCTGTTTCTCTGCAGAAAGAAAAGGCCAGGCAGAAGAAACTCACTGAGCCATCCTGTCTGCTCTGCTCCATGTTGGCTATGCTAGCAGGTGAGAGGGTGCCGGGAGGACTGCAGCTAGGAAAAAGTAGACCTAAGGTAGCAGGCCAACAAAGGCAGCCATTTTGTCCATGCTGGGACAAGCTGGAAAATGGTTGGGGAGGTTTAAGAGAGGTCCATCGCTTACCTCTCTAGTCTGTGAATCTGGAGGTCATGACCCCTTGACCTGAGGTATCCCTAGCTTCCTCCAGTCCAGATGTTAGACATACTGATCTTGGGTACTGGTTAGGCTTGGATGGCTTAGTGTTAATTCCGACTGCTGTGACCTGACGTTACTCAGTTTTCCACCAAATTCTGACCAGCAGCCTCTACCTGCCCCCCATTCATCTCTCTGGTCTCAAAGGTTCCTGATCTCCACCCAGCCTCTGAAACTCTCCCTGGCCTCTTTTCCCTATGTCTAGGCTGGCACCATGCCCCCCCCTGCAGAGGTGACGGACCCGTCCCATGCCCCTGCTGTCCTGCGTCAGCTCAATGAGCAGCGGCTCCGTGGCCTCTTCTGTGATGTCACCCTCATAGCTGGAGACACCAAGTTCCCTGCTCACCGCAGTGTCCTGGCTGCTTCTAGTCCCTTCTTCAGAGAAGCCCTACTAGCTTCAGCTTCACTGCCCCTCCCACCAGTTACTGGGGCCTCAGCTCCCAACCCTGCAACCACCACAGCTGCCTCTTCCTCCTCTTCCTCTTCCTCCTCTTCCTCTTCCCCTCCAGCCTCTCCCCATGCTTCATCCCCACCCCGGGTTCTGGAGCTGCCGGGAGTCCCGGCAGCTGCCTTCTCTGATGTTCTCAACTTCATCTACAGTGCCCGGCTTGCGCTCCCAGGTGGTGGAGGGGATGGGGCAGCTGTGGCAGAGATTGGAGCTCTGGGGCGGCGTCTGGGTATATCCCGCCTACAGGGCCTGGGGGAAGGAGGTGATGCCTGGGTACCTCCTGCCCCAGTCCCCATGGCCACCTCACAGCCTGAAGAGGACAGTTTTGGGCCTGGGTCTATGCCAGATGGAGAGTGGGAGGGTGACAAAGCTGAGGCCCAGGCTCCTGACTCACAGCCCTCCTTGCCCCGGCCACGGTCCCTTCCCTGCCCTCGATGTGGAAAAAGTTTCATCCATCCCAAGCGGCTGCAGACCCATGAGGCCCAGTGTCGTCGGGGGTCCAACAATCGAGGGTCTACAGGGCTGGGAGCTGGGGGCTCTGGCCCTGGTGGTCCTGGAGGAGTGGATGCCTCAGCTCTGCCCCAACCAGTGGGCTTCCGAGGTGGCCCTGAGCACGTGGTGAAGGTGGTAGGCGGCCATGTGCTCTATGTGTGTGCGGCCTGTGAGCGTTCCTACGTGACCCTGTCCAGCCTGAAGCGGCACAGCAATGTACACTCATGGCGGAGGAAGTATCCCTGCCGCTACTGTGAGAAGGTGTTTGCCCTGGCTGAGTACCGCACCAAGCACGAGGTGTGGCACACCGGGGAGCGCAGGTGAGTGACCTGAGATGGTAGAGGGGACAAGGGTAAGCTCTCAGAGGCCACTAGAAGACAGAGGGGATGGGCAGAGTCTGGGCCTAGAAAGTCTTCCATCCACACTGGGACTTGCTCTTGCCTTAGTCCCTGGTCACTGACATCCACCAGCATCTTTCTAACCCCAGCTTGTTCAGCTGATGTCTGTTAGCATCTTGCCTGCTACATCCTGGCTTGGTGCTTGTGGGAAAAGACAGACAGGAAAGAGAAATTTGCCTTCATAGGAGAGGACTATGAAAATACAGGCCTGTCTATCAGGACTTGTACTCAGAACAGCACCTGATATTTTCATGGCATGTTCATAAGTCATTACCCTTTTCTATCATTTGTGCCACAGAAGGCTTTATGGATTAGGGTATGTGATTAGTCCCATTTCACAGATGGAACAGCTGAGGCTAAGAAGTCTTGAAGCTGGGGGAAGGAGCTGCTAAGCTTAGTCTGGTTTTGTTCCAAAGGCAGGGTGAGGCAAGCAGCATTAAGAGAGGATAAACTGTTGGCTGGGGGAGTTATAGTTTTGAGGGCTACAGAGGACATGGGACGATGAGGCCCTGGCTTCAGGGCCTCTGACTCAAGTGGCTCTGTTCCTGCCCTGTTCCTGCTGTCCTGGCCCAGGTACCAGTGCATCTTCTGCTGGGAAACCTTTGTCACCTATTATAACCTGAAGACCCACCAGCGAGCCTTCCATGGCATTAGCCCGGGCCTCCTAGCCAGTGAGAAGACACCCAATGGAGGTTACAAGCCCAAGCTTAATACCCTCAAGCTGTACCGCCTGCTCCCCATGCGGGCAGCCAAGCGGCCCTACAAGACCTACAGTCAGGGAGCCCCTGAGGCCCCCCTTTCTCCAAGCCTCCACACACCGGCCCCTGCAGCAATGCCAGCCAGTCCCCCACCCCGACCCCCACCTGCCCCAGAGCCTGGCCCACCCCCCTCTGTCATCACCTTTGCTCACCCAGCTCCCTCTGTCATTGTCCATGGGAGCAGTAGCAGTGGTGGAGCTGGGGGTGGGCCAACCAACACAGGAGGGTCCCAAGCTGCCTCAGTCATCACTTACACTGCTCCCCCAAGACCTCCCAAGAAACGAGAGTACCCACCTCCTCCCCCTGAACCTACACCAACACCCACCAGCCCAGCCTCCACCGCCATCAGCCCAGCCACAGCCGCTGGGCCAGCCACGGCCACAGAGGAGGTCAAGGGCCGGAATCTGCGGGCTGGGAGGACTCTGACTTACACAGCTAAGCCTGTGGGTGGGGTTGGCGGGAGTGGGGTTTCTCCCACAGGGACAGGCCGAGGCTCCGCTCAGCTACAGGCTCCACCTCCACTGTGTCAGATCACTGTGCGAATTGGGGAAGAGGCCATCGTCAAGCGCCGCATTTCAGAAACTGACCTGCGCCCCGGCGAGCCGAGTGGAGAGGAGGTAGAGGAGAGTGAGGAGGAGGAGGAGGAGGAAGAAGAGGAGGAGGAGGAAGAGGAGGAGGATGACCAGGAGGAATCAAAAGCTGGTGGTGAAGATGAGCTCTGGAGGCCCTACTATTCATACAAACCTAAGCGCAAGGCTGGAGCAACTGGTAGTGGGGGCAGTGGGAACAGTGGGGTGCCTCGAGGACGAAGACCATCACGTTGGAGGCAGAAGCTGGAACGGAGGGGCTGGGAGGAGACCCCAGCAGTGGAGGGCCCTGGAGGGCGTGCTCGTGGTGAGCGGAGGCACCGCTGTGGGGACTGTGCCCAGACCTTTGCCACCCTGAGGAAGCTGCGAAAGCATCAGGAGGCCCACAGTGGGGGCTCCCACAGTTCCAGGACTGGACGAAGGTCTTCCACCCGCCTCACCTGTCCCCATTGTGCCAAGGTGTGCAAGACGGCAGCTGCCCTGAGCCGACATGGGCAGAGGCATACTTCTGAGCGACCCGGGGGCACCCCCACACCTGTCATTGCCTATTCCAAGGGCAGCATTGGCACCAGGCCTAGTGATGTCAAGGAGGAAGCCCCCCAAGAGATGCAAGTATCCTCATCCAGTGGGGAGGCAGGTGGCGGGAATGCTGCTGCTGAGGAGGCTCCTGAGACTGCTTCACTGCAGGATCCTGTCATCTCCGGGGGTGAGGAGCCCCCAGTAGCAGGTGGGGGCAGTTATGTGTACCCACCTGTGCAAGAATTCCCACTGGCCCTGATAGGGGGCAGTCGGGAACCCAGCGGTGGTAGAGGAAAACCTGGGAGTGAGGGACCAGTGGGAGCTTCAGAGGGAGATCGGATGGAGGGGATGGGGACTGCCAAAGTCGCTTTCTACCCCGAGCCCTACCCACTTGTCTATGGCCCCCAGCTCCTTGCTGCCTACCCTTACAACTTTAGCAACTTGACTGCTCTCCCAGTTGCTCTCAATATGGTCCTACCTGATGAGAAGGGCGGGGGGGCCCTTCCCTTCCTACCAGGGGTCTTTGGTTATGCAGTGAATCCTCAAGCAGCACCCCACACTCCACCAACTCCACCTCCTCCAACTCTTCTTCCACCAGTTCCCCCAAAGGGAGAAGGGGAAAGAGCAGGGGTTGAGAGAACCCAGAAGGGAGATGTGGGGTGAGTTCTAGGGTCAAATACCCCCTTCACCAGATGCTACCCTCCCTGAGCCCTCCACCACTATCAGCTCCCTGGACTCCTTGCCCCTTGGGAGCCCCGCCACACTCGTGCAGGGATTTGGGAACCCCTGGAGCTCAGGGGTCAGGCTACTTTGTGTGAGATTGTAGTTTTCCCATCTCCTGGGAAGGGATCTTTGGTGGTTCCCCTCTCAGTCTTCTCCAGGGAATGGCCCCCATGAGGGGAAGGGTCAGCTCTCATCCCTTCTCCAGCCCTTGGGGGCAACTGAGCAATATACTTATCTGAATCTCTACTCACAGCCCCCACCAGCTCTGAATGTCTAACCTGTTCCCCTGATTTGTAAACCTAGGGGAAAACTATCTCTCTCTCACCTAAGGATGCCTGCTCGTTCTGAAGCTTTCTCTAAGTCCTTTCCCAGATGCTTCCTAGCACATTCCATTCTTTATGGCCCAGGGCCTGGACCAGACCATTGTGATATCTGACCCACTGGCCTGAAAGCATGGCTTTGGATTCCGTTCTTCCCAAGGGTGGGTTTCTCTGTCCTTGTTTCTTTGACATTAAGATGCCATGCTTTCCTTGGCTTCCATGCCTTTGGATCTTCCATATTCCTTCCTGTGCTCCTAGATTTTGGAGACGACCTAACCCAATCCAGGCCAAAAGGAGGTAGGAGGTGTCCCATGGCTGAGCACTTTTCTAGTACAGGGCAGGGAAATCTTGGCCCTACCTTGACCCCCAAATCCAGTGACCCCAGATTCTTCCAAGGCAAAAGAGATGAATAGATCTCTTCCTGCTTTATAGATGGCCTCCTTGGGGCTAAACCACATTTGGGCACCAGGCAGGAAACGCTCCACATAGGATGGAGAAAAGACTGCTTTCTCCCTGCTCCTTCATCATGATTTCTCCTAAACTAGACCAAATAGCCAGAAAACTGATGGGGTTTGATGCATGGGGTAAGCCCAAGATTTGCACTTACTCCTCCATCCTTACCTTTACCCCATTTCCTCCAGCGTCACTCTCCTCTCCAGTCACCCCAGATGGTTTTGGGGGAACCATCCTCTCCTGGTGGGCTTTGGGGTATCCCCACCAACATTGCCTCCAAAATAGCACCTTATACCCCATCTTTGACTCAGTTCCCCACACCCAAAGATCCCAGCCTAGGGATGGGGTGCAGGGACCTTAAATAGTCCCTAATCCCTAATTTGCACTAGTTAACCCTGGTCAAGGGTCCCTATGTTTCCTTCCAGTGGGGAAGATGAAGAAATGTTTGTTCCTAATTCTCTTTGAAAACAGGCCTCCCTGCTGTATGATTGAATGAACATTTCCCATTGTACCCACTCCCCCTCCCCCTCAAAACCAGCTCATAAGGGGAGAGCCAGTTTGGGGGAGGGAGCAAATTTGACATGGGAATTAGAGGAGTGTGACTTTAAAAAGGAGAAAAGCTGTTATCAAAATGGCGGCCTTTCTACCAGCTACTGTTTTCTGGGGCCAAGATGGCTGCCCTCTGACCTACTATGGAGAGGGCAAGATCATGGCTTTTGGAGGATGTGAGTTTTGGAAGGCCAGGAGCGTCTTCCTTACCACTCCTGACCTCCCAGCATATAAGAAGGGGGAGGTTTTTGACAGGCTTCCTGAATGTTATCCACGGAGGGGTCACTCCATTTTCTCCTCTGTCTCTTTGCACTTTTCTTGTTCTTGGCCACAGCCTGAGTGAAGAATTTCCTACTGAATGTACCAAGTTCCAATTTTTAGGGGGGAAAAGGTTTCAAACAGGGAAAAATGAAAAAGGAAAAAAAATCACTAAAAATTCCCACAATCTTGTTTCTGGCACTTTAGAAAAACTGCAAAAAATACATAATAAAGAATACATATATATATATCTACACACAAATTATATATATATATATATCTATATATATATACAGCGGAACCACAAGAGAGACTGAGGAAGGCCTGGAGGTGGGACAGATATGATGACAGTCCTCGTACCTTTACCTGCATTCCTCTGAGGAAGTCAGGAACAGAATGGAAGGGGTTGAAGATGGACTGGGGTGTTTGAATTTCAGAACAGATCAAAATTTCAAAACTGTGGACCTTTTAGCAGAATTGAGATTATAGATGTTTATTTTTTTAATATGATTAAGGAAAATGAATTTGGCAACAGATGAGATTGTGGTAAAGTAGAAATTTAAAAATATGTATTTGAGCTGGAAAGTTTGAATATCGTGAGTTTCAGGTGTTGAATTGGGATTTTGGGATTTTGTCATTTGAAAATTATCAAATCTTGTATGTGCCCTCTTTCCTCATGTTCCTGGGAAGAAGGGTAATAGAGTGGGAAGGCCACTGGTTCTGTACCACAGCACGCAAGATTTAGAATTCTACAGACTAGCTCTATATGTAGTGAGGACCCAGATTTAGAGAAACTGACCAATATTTATCTCTGCATTTGTGTGTGTCCAACTCTCTAGGCCAATAAACCAACAAGACAAATGAACTGTGCTTACAGTGGGATGCCAGGTGCAGTTATTTGGGGGGCTGGGGGGTAGGGGGAGAAGGGACATGCTTTCCTTGTTCTACAGGGATCCTGGGACCTGTAGCCCTCTCCTCCCTCCCAGGACAATTTTTAGCAATTGAGTAAGTATGAGGCTGATTGACCTTGGGTGCTTCACTATAACTGCTTATATAGCCACTAGGCTCCAGCTCACAGTGGTCTGACCTCCAGGCAGAAACATTAACTGAGGGGCTGGGGATGCAGCTCGGTACAGTACTTGCCTAGAATGCAGGAGGCCCTGGGTTTGTTCCCCAGCATGGTCGTGTTGGTGTACACCTGTAATCCTAGCACTTGGGAGGTAAAGGCAGGTGGATCAGAAATTCAAGGTCATCCTCAGCTACACAGTGAGCTTGAGGCTAGCCTGGACTTCATGAGACCCTTTTCTCAAAAATACCCCCTCCCCCAAATTTAGCCACACCCCTAGTGAGGACAAGTGCTAGGTAAAAGATTTCTGTGTTCCTGAATAACCTTCACCTTAAACCAGTCCTAACACTTTCCAGTTTGAAGGTACACTGAGGCAAAAAATGTATAGCTATAGGAAACCTTTGACTCCTAGTCTCATTGTCCTTAGCTTGCCCACCTTCCTCTCCTGTGGGTCCTCTCCAATGTTATGAGGGAGAGACAGGTCAAATGGGTGAGGCTGGTCAGGTGCGTGGGAGCTTTGAGGAATTCTGGTCAGAGCAGGCAGCCACCAATCAGCTCTAGCAAGTTGCTGCCAACAGGAGTATCAGGTCTGTGTCACTGTAGTTTTCTAAACATGCTTTCAAGAGAAGCCAGAAATCTAAATCCTCTGTGAAATATACAAAGTTTAAAGGTAACAAACGAATTCAAATTTAAAGTTACAGGCTGAGTACGGTGGGTTTATGTTTTTAATCCTAGCACTTGGGAGGCAGGTAGATTTCTGTGAGTTCCAAACCAGTCAAAGCTACATAGTAAGACCCTGTCTAAACAAATAAATAGTAGGCCAGTAGGTACATGCCTGTAATCCTAGCTATTCCAAAGGCTCAGGCAAAAAAATGGAAAGTTTGAGGCCTGCCTGGATTAAATAGTTCAAGGCCAGACTGGGCAACTTACAAAGACCCAGTTTTAAAAACAAAAAACAGGCATGGTGGCATATGCCTGTAATCCCAGTACTTTAGAAGTACAGGCAGAAGAATAAGAATCAGAATTCAAGAATATCCTCAGCTCTGTAATGAGTTCAAGGTCAGCAAATTAAAAAAACAAAACAAAACAAAGAAACTGCATATGACTGTGATCCCAGCACTTGGGATGCTGAGGCAAGAGGGTTGCTGGGAAGTCAAGGCCAGCTTGTACTGTATAGTAAGATTCTGTATCAAGCAACAATAATAATGAAATCAAGGTAAGATAACAAAAAGGGGGAGGGGATGTAGCTCAAGAGCAGAACACTTATCCAGCATTTGCAAGGCCCTAGATTCAATCCTAAGTACTCTAAAATAAACCAGTATTTACAGGCCAACAATGCAGGCCAAAAAATACCAGCTTGAAAATTCTGATATACACTGTCAGGAATTCACTCTGGGCATATACTATTATCAGCTTTCATTTAACAGACATGGAAGCAGATTCAGAGCAGTTTAGTGGGTAGTGCACCAAAACTAGGACTTGAATAAGGCTCTTTGCTTGTCTATTTGTTTGAGACAGGGCCTCACTCTGTAGCCTAGCTTGGCCTGAAACTCACAGCAATCCTTTTGTTTCAGTCTTCCAATGCTGGGATTGTAACATGAGCCACCATGCCTGGCTCGAGGTATTTTGTTTTGCTTTTTTTAATGTGTAGGAGTGTTTTGCCTGCACATAAGTGCATCATGTTTATGCAATGGCTGCAGAGGCCAGAGAGGGTGTCGGATCCCCTGGAAGTGGAGTTTTGAGTAGTTATTAGCCACCCTGTGGGTACTGGGAACCAAAGCAGAGTGCTCTTAACCACTAACCCCCCAACTTTTTTTTTTTTTTTTTTTTTTGAGAGAGGGTCTCACTATGTAGTTTTGGCTAGTCTGGAATTCCCTATGTAAACCAGGCTGGCTTCAAACTCATAGAGGTATGTCTACCTTTTCCAACTGTTGGGATTAAAGGTGTGCACCTCCAGGCCTGGCTCTTTTTTTTTTTTTTTTCCGACCAGGATCTCTTGTAGTCCATACTGGCCTTGAACTCAGTACGTAGCCAAGGCTAGCATTGAAATTGTGGCAATCCTCCTACCTCTGTCAAGTTCTGGGATTATACCACCACTCCTCACACTTGAAAGAAGTCTTTTAAATGCTTTTTTAATTTCCGCATTACAAGTACAGCCTTTTTAGAAACAACTTATTTTCATCCTAAAGGTGGTAGTCATTACAAAAGATAATAAATTATGGAAAGGTAAAAACAGAAAAATTGATTAATCACAGGCATATGCAGGCACTATTGGTGCATTTCCTTTCAGAACTTTTTTCTGTCTTTAACAAATGTTAAGCATTTATGGGAATGCCTGTGCTGGGAGCTGGGGACATTACAGTGAACAACAGATTTTCTGTCCTCAGAAGGCTTACAGTCTAGTACTTGCTGATTATTGCATTGCAATGGAGACCTAAGCTTTGACATCCAGCAGAGCTTCTTCAAGAACCCAAAATCAAGTGTGGTAGCTCACCTGGCTTGCAATCCCAACACTCCTTTGGCTGAAGCCATAGTATTGCTGGGTATTTGAAGCTTGCCTGGGCTACATAGTGAGTTCTAGGCTAGCCTGGGCTACAGGATGAGGCCATGTTTCAAAAGACCAAACCAAACCAAAAACCCCTAACAAGTAAATAAGCTGATAGGCATTTTAGGAGGGTCCAAGGCATCCTGTCCAGTCCTCTGTCTCACTTCACTGCCTTCCCCAGAAACTAGAGGACTGGATTCCTCCAGAAGGAGTTCAGAGGCAGACAGGTATATAGTTTGAGAGTACCTGCAACTCTCAGTTAAAATGACTGTCAACGCTTCAAGGAAAGGGCTCTGGAGGGGGCAAGTGGTATGTGGCATCTAAAAAAATGACCAGGGTCCCAAGGCTTGTGAAGATGATGAAGGTCCACAGGAAAAGGCGATCTACTACCATGGCCACAAACTGCCAGTCCTCCTTCAGCTGAGAGTAGGCAGGAAAAAAAAAAAAAAAAAAAAATCTAACCTTCAGGTCCTGAGCCCCCAGGAAGCCCGCCCCTTCCAACTCTTTTTCCCACCAAGACCTAGCTACTTAGAGAAAAAGGAAAACACATCGGGAGAACAAGATCCCCAGCAAAGGATGGAAGTAAGGTCAGAAAGTAGGAGGCGGAACCAGTGGAGCACTTCCAATCAGAAACGGAAGCGGCTGCTGGGGACTTGGATTTGGGGATGGAGCCAAGGTCACTGAACCTTGATTTGCTCCACCCTCGTTGGACTTACTGCGTCCTGGTCCTCCTGTTCCTGCAGCTGTCGAGCGATGTAGCTGATGGAAGAAACCACCTCCCGTAGCTCCTGAGGCAGACCGACAGCCCTGATTGGACCATCTATAAATCGTCGCAGGTCCGGGGCTGACAGTTCAGGCTGAAACCTGGAAGAGGCAGAACTCTTTGGCCACACACCCGGCTCAAAGCAGAGGCTCCAGGTGCCTCCTCCGAAACCTGCCAGTTCACAAACCCAAGAGGGCACTTCTGGATCTCCTCGCCAGCGGCTATCTTGCCAAACTTAGGCAAATTTCTCTACCCGTCTTAGCTGTAAATGCCACTTTCCCACAAGGAGAGCAGCGGCGGGGATACTACAAGTCCCATGATGCTAGACCACAACACCAGGAGCATGGGCTTCCACCATCTTCTGGGAACTCCAGTTCTCCCTCTCCCAAGTGACTGATGAGTGTAGGTCCTACCTGTTAGGTTTAGGAAAGAGAAAATCACTTGGAGGCTTCCGGATGAAATATTCATCGGTTCCCCGGCCCCAACCACTTCCTGGAGAAAATGAGTGTTGTGGCTCCGGTAGTTGATCTCTCTCAGGTTTGGGCCTCGTTAGACCCAGGTATGGAGGGAGCTTGTGGATGAAGATCTATGGAGAAGTGGCATATTGGAGAGGGCTATCATGCCTTCAAACCTAAGGGAAGCAGCTAACCATCTCCACTCTGTCCATTACTGTACATCTGCACACATGGTCCCAGGGCTACACTGATAGAAAGAGCGTAAGGGCTCTTTTATGAGTTGAGCATCCTGAGAAGTGACATCCAAAAGCCTCTTCCCTGATTGTACCTACCCCTGAGAATGTTTCCCTGGGACTGGAAGTGAGCAGTATGGATGAAGAGTCAATGGATCTATGAAACGATGAGGGTGGGAAGGTAAAATTGTGCAGGTTCCTGCATTTCACACCACACCAGCCAACCGTATTCTTCCTAAGGTCTATAAAGTCAAAGTCTGGTGGGAGGGAGGAGTGGTATCTGCACAAAATCCAAATGCTAATCCTCCCCTCTTCCTTCCTTCCCTTCCTCTTTTTTTTTTTTTTTTTTTTTTTTTTTTAAAGAGCCCAGGCTGGCCTCATTATTCCTGTCAAGTGCTGAGATTGTAGTCATGTACCACCACACCTGGCTGTAAAATTGTGTTAACACAGGTTGCAGGGGATTGATATCTCTTACCTGCCGGACCCAAAGGGGCATTTGGTGGGTGTGGGGTGAACGATGGTGCAAGTTGAGGACCACAACGCTAAGGATGACTGAGAAGGTGACGAGGATCATGGTAAACATGAGATACTTGATAATGATGGGGACCGCCAAGGAGGTCTCAGGCACTTTGTCTGCCAGCAACAGCAGGAACACAGTAAGGGTCAGCAAGGCAAAGATTGAGAGTCCTATCTTCTCTCCTTGGAAGGCAGACCAAAACAGAAGAATTAGACTTTGCCAGAAAGAAATCTCTGTGGCATAGTCAGTGCTCAGGTTTCAAACCCACTTAAGAACAGGCTTTTGGAAAAGTCATTTACCTGCAAATCATTCTGACATTTGTTCCTCCAGCCAAGACTTACCTTGAACTTTAGACTTAGAGCCTACTCAACCTTTTCATTGGCTATCCAATAGACATCTCAAATTTAACATCAATAACCTAATTCCCTCATCATCAAAGTTGTTTTTTTAGCTGGGCCTGGCACAGTCCTGAATCCCAACTATTCTCAAGGCTGAGCTAGGAGGACTACAAGTTCAAGACCTGCCTCTGGGCTACAGAATGAGTTCAAGGTCAACCTGGGCTATGTGGTGAGAAAAAAGAGGGCTGGGTGAGGCTGGGGGTACAGTTTAGCTGGTAGAGTGCTTGTCTTTCTTGCATGAATGAGGCCCTGGATTCAATCCTCAGAATCACAAAAAGAAAACAAGAGACTTGGGAAATAGCTACCTTTATATTATAATGTTGAATTATAAAGCAGATTAGGCCCATCATGGTATTATACACAAATCCTAGCACTTTAGAAGTGGAGACAGACAGGAGGATCAGGAATTCAAGGCTAACCTCAACTACATATCAAGTTCTAGGCTAGCCCGGGGTACACAAAACTCTCTCAAAAAACGAGAGAGGAGAGAGAAAGCTTACTGACTTACTATGGTCTATAAACCTTTCTCATTAGCTTCCTAACTTTATTACCCTTTACTCCCTCATTTGCTTTATTTGGATATGTTGGCCTCCTGGTTTTTTTTGTTTGTTTGTTTGTTTGTTTTTGTCTTTTTGAAGCAGGGTCTCCCTGTAGCCCTAGCTGTCCTGGAACTCACTGTGTAGACCAGGCGGGCCTTGAACTCAAAAAGATCTGCCTGCCTCTGCCTCCCAAGTGCTGGGACTACAGGCATGTGCCACCACGCCTGGCTTATTTTTTATTTTTATTTTTTGGTCTTCTTGAGACAGGATCTCCTGTAGACTCAGCTGCCCTGGAACTCACTATGTAAACCAGGCTGGCCTCAATCTTGCAGAGATAGGTCTGCCTCTGCTTCCCAAGTGCTGGGATTAAAGGCATGTGCCACCATGCCTGGCTCGATCATTTTTTAAATTATTATTTTTATTTATGTGTATGAGTGTTTTGCCTGCATGTATATAATTGCACCCCTGACATGCAATACCCATGGAGGCCAGAAGAGGGTGTCATATCCCCTGGAACTGGAGCATCAGATGGTTGTTAGCCACCATGTGGATCCTGGGAACCAAACCCAGGTCCTCAAAGAGCAACCAGTGCTCTTAACCACTGAGCCATCTCAAACTCTTATTTCTTTCTTATTTTCTTTCTTTTTTAAAAAATGTGTGTATGTGCCTGGTGTGGTGGCACACACCTTTAATTCCATTACTCAGGAGACAGAGGCAAGCAGATCTCTGTGAGACAGAGGCCAGCCTCCTGGTCTATGTAGCAAGTTCCAGGCCAGCTGGGGGCTACAGGGAGACCCTGTTTCAAAAAAAAAAAAAAAAAAAAAACCCTGAACAGCCAGGCATGGTGGTGCATGCCCCTTTGGTCCCAGCACTCAGGAGGCAGAGGCAAGCGGATCTCCGTGAGTTCGAGGCCAGCCTGGTCTATATAGTGAGTTCCAGGCGAGCTACAGCTACGGGAGACTCTGTCTCAAAAAAGACCGAAAAAAAAAGGGGGCTGGAGAGATGGCACAGTGGTTAAGAATACTGGTTATTCTTGCAGAAGACCCGGGTTTGAATCCCAGCACCCACATGGCAGCTAACAACTATCCATAACTCCAGTCCCAGGGAATCCAACAGCCTCTTCTGACCTCCGCAGGCATTGCACGACACGGGTGCACTCACCTACATGCAGGCAATACACACATACACATAAAATAATCATAATAAATAAAAAAATTTTTTAAAGTGCTTTCATTTAAAAAAAGAGACAAAAAAAACCTGAAAATAAAAATTGTGTGTGTGTGTGTGTGTGTGTGTGTAGGGTGTGTGCACTTGTGTGGAGGCCAGAAGTTGGCATTGGGTGTCATCTGCTATCACCCTATACTCTATTGACAGGGTCTCTCACTGAACCTGGAGATCACCAATTAGCTAGGGTGGCTGGCCAAGGATCTCTAAGGACCTGCTTGTCTCTATCCCCTTAGTGTTCAGGCTATAGACAGGTGTACCAGGCCTGGTGGTTTTTTTCCCACTATGTAGACCACAGAACTCACAGAGATCTGCCTGTCTCTGCCTCCCAGGTGCTGGGATTAATGGCACATGCCCCCACATATAGGGTATTCCCTATCCTTTTGATACAGAGGATACCGTCTCACCCAAGTGTAGCTTTGTACTCAGTGTTTCCCCTACCTGGTATGTTCTTCCACCAGAAACCCACCTTAAGTTCTACTGCCTTAAGGTCAAATTCTCCATCATGTGTGTTCTGGGACTCAAACTCAGGTTGTCAGCCTTAGCAGTAAGTGCCTTTACCTAATGAGCCATCTCACCAGCTCAGTTTCTAGTTATTTATTTACTTATTCATTTTTATTCTGTTGTGCTAGGGACCAAACCCAATGATCCCATTTTAAAATTGCAACCTCTGAGCTATATGTATCTCAGTTGGTAGAATGCTTACCTAGCATACATGAGACTCTAGGTTAAGTCCCCAGCACCCCATAAATTGGGAGTGGTGATGCATGCTTGTAATCCCAGTATTCCTGAGGTAGAGGCAGGATGGTCAGAAGTTCAAGGTCATCTGGCTACATAGTGAGTCGAGGCCAGCCTGGGATATACAAGATCCTGTGTCAAAAACAAAAAACAAAACAAAACAAAAAAATATGCAGGGGCTGGAGGAATGGCTCAGCAGTTAAGAGCACTGGCTGTTCTTGCAGAAGACCGGGGTGGGTTCCCAGCACTCATGTGGCAGCTAATAACTGTCTGTAACTCTAATTTGAGGAGGTCAGACACCCAATTCTGGCCTCTGCAGGCATTGCATGTATGAGGTACACTTATATACATGCAGGCAAAACACTTAAACACATTAAATAAAAATAAAGTAAGCCGGACGTGGTGGCACACACCTTTAATCCCAGCACTTGGGAGGCAGAGGCAGGAGGATCTCTGTGAGTTCAAGGCCAGCCTGGTCTACATAGTGAGTTCCAGGACAGCTGGGGCTGCAGGGAGACCCTGTCTCCAAAAGACCAAATAAATGTAAAAATGTGGACTGATAAAATGCCTTAGTGCAAGCCTGATGATCTGAGTTTGATCCCTGCAACCCATGATGGAAAAACAGAAACAACCCCCACGAAGTTGTCCTCTTATCTCCACACACACACTGTGGCATGGACGTGCCCACACTCATACACACATCATACATGCATCATGCACATGCACAAATGATAATCAGTTCTAAGTAAAAATAAGACAGGCATGGTGATGCATACCTGTAATCCCAGCCCTCAGGAGGCAGAGTCAGGAGGATCTCTGTGAGATTAAGGTCAGCCTGGGCTGCATAGCAAGTTCCACACCAGCTGAGGCTACAGGGAGACCCTGTCTCAGAAAAAAAGATAAAGAGATGGAATGAAGCATGGGTTTTCAGAGGAAACCAGTAAGATGGGAAGTTACCAAAATATTCCTTATTTCTTTCACTTTATAAAGCACGTGCACTTCCTTGTTAGCACACTAGGCAGGAAGATCTAGCAGAACTCCTCATAGCTGCCACAATTTCAAGATAGTCGTGAGCAGAAACTCATGTTTTGGGAAGTATTTGCAACCACTGTAATATGACAAGCAGATACTAATGACAGTCACTGGCTGGCCACTGCCACTTTGACTGGTTGCCTAGTCTGTGATGGAAAGGACCGTCAAATGTCAGAAGTGAGTGAAATCATAGTGCTGAGTTTGTCCATCCAAGTTCAAGGCCTCCTGAACTATTAGTACCCTTTGGAGATCAGGGTCTGTGAGTCTCAAGTCTCTAGTAGTAGAGTAGAGATAGGAGTTGGAGACAAACTGGACCACCAGTCTCTGCAGGTAGACAGGTGGCTCATGCCACCCCCCACTCAACCCCCCCACACTCCCACAGATGCCCCTGGGCAGTATGGAGCCTATTTCCAGGATAATGGTTTCCTAGCCCTCCCCAAGGATATCTTCTCCAGAAGGTAAGACTGGCATTGGGTGGGAGACTATGGGCCTGGGGGTGAGCAGCTAGTGGGGGATGGGAGCAGACAGGAGTCAGACTTATGCCCTCCCACCCACTACTCCCCACTGCCCAGCCTACCGGAAGTACCTGAGACCATTGAGCTGGAAGTTCGGACCAGCACAGCCAGTGGCCTCCTGCTCTGGCAGGGTGTGGTGAGTGAACATTGTCCTGGGGTTCTCAGGATTCCTGGAGCTGGAAAATGACCTCCTAGTGGTCAGGGCAGGGAGTGGGGAGAGAAGTGCAGAGGCCTCAGCACTCGAGGCTGGGACTCGAGAGACCCCATATTTTCTTAACAGGAGGTGAGAGAGGCCAGCCATAGCAAGGATTTCATCAGCCTCGGGCTGCAGGATGGCCATCTTGTCTTCAGGTTGGTCTTGGAAACCAGCCTCTCCTCTCCCTTCCTTGGCTTCTGCAATGGAAGCTGCAGCTCTGGGTGCCCCAGCCACACCTTACCACCACCACCTGCACCCTACACTTCTCTACCCCCAAATATACACCTTCGTGAATCTGTTACTGCAGCTACCAGCTGGGCAGTGGGGAAGCCCGCCTTGTCTCAGAGGACCCCATCAATGATGGCGAGTGGCATCGAGTGACAGCACTGCGGTAAGGAGCCCAGCCAGGCATTGAGGGAAGGACCCAAGGATGGACATAGGGATGAGATACCCCTACCGTGGGCGAGGAGGAGATTGGCGGAGGCAAGGAAGCTGGCATGAGGACAGCTTGCCAACTAGAACAGAGCTCCTGGCCAGGCAGAACTCCCCCAGGACCAGGTGTGGCAGTGCATGTCTGTGATCCCAGCACTTGGGAGATAGAGGCAGGAAGATTCTGATTTGAAGCCAGCCTGGGCTACCTAAAGAGAAGAAACCTGGGGAGGGGCCTCAGAAGCTAGCTGTGTGTGGTCAGTAGGAAAAGAGAGAACTCAGAGAGACAGCAGGGGGCATACTCGCCTGTCTTGAGTCTCAGTGTCAAGGGGAGGGCATCCGTGAAGGACGGGAATTCAGAGTAAAGGGCCTGACCCTGTCATACTGCAGAGAGGGCCAGAAAGGCTCCATCCAAGTGGACGGTGAGGAGCTGGTCAGTGGCCAGTCCCCAGGCCCTAATGTGGCAGTCAACACGAAGGGCAGTGTCTACATAGGTGAGTGCCCAGGATGGTGTGATGCAGGTTGGGGAGGAGTTGGCAGCCTTCAGAGCTGGAGCCTGGCTTCCCCACCTCTCTGGCTGTACCACCAACCCACTCTTAAAACCCTCTCCCATAGGTGGTGCCCCAGACGTGACCACGCTAACTGGGGGCAGGTTCTCCTCTGGAATCACTGGCTGTATCAAGAATCTGGTACTGCACTCAGCCAGACCTGGCGCCCCACCTCCCCAACCCCTGGACCTGCAGCACCGTGCTCAGGCAGGGGCCAACACACGCCCCTGCCCCTCATAGGCACCTGCCTGCCCCATACCCCCATGGACTCCGGGCAGTGCCCAGCCCGACAATGTCGAGTATATTATTATTAATATTATTATGACTTTTTGTAAGAGACTGAGGCGATGCCACACGCTTTGCTGCTGCCACCCTGGGCTGGACTGGAGGGTGGGCGTGCCACCTCACACATGCATGGGCAGAGCCCCAAGGCTGGTGGGCAGGGCAGATGAACTGGAGAAGGTTGCCTCAGAAGGGCCACCAGGACTTGGAGTCAGATATGGTGGCTGGATGGAATCAGAACTTCTCCCTCTCCTGCCCCACCACAGAACCAGATCCAAAGTGGTGTTGGGCTGCCCATGGGCAGTCCTCATTCCTGTGAGCCAATCTCAGCTTATCACCTGGTGCCTCACCATTGACCCCAATGAGGGGGTGTTGCAGTGGCCTGGGCCACCGCCCCGTGCTGGGAGCAGAAAGCAGCTCACCCTTCCCCCACCAGCCACTTCCCAGCTCCCTAAACTCCCACCTAGCCAGGAGCCCCTTGTCCCTGGCAGCCTTCCCTCCCACCCAGCCATCTTCCACCTGCATTTTCCTGTTACCCCCACACACAGCCAGGGCCCTGCCCTCTGGAGCTGCAAGGGAAAGCAACTCTTCCCCAAGCTGCTAGACAGAGCCTAGCAATGAGGTAACCCCTACAGCAGGCCGAACCCCCCACCCTTCTGGAGGTGAAGACCCAGGGCATGGGGGAGCCAGGTCAGGAGACCAGTGCCTTGGTGGGGGTGGCTGAGACCCCTGACTGGGAAAGAGAGGAGGGGTGATGACAGCCCCACTCATCTGGGAGCCTGAGGACCCAACTGGTGGGTAAGCAGGCCCAGACTGTGGCTGTTGGAGCACCCAGCCTCAGGTCCTAAAGGGGAACCCCTGTGGTCTTTGTCTTGATTTTTCTTAATAAACGGTGCTATCCCCGCCAGGGGTCTCTTGTATCTTTGATGAGGGCTTGACTTAGGGGTGCTTGAAGTAGAAGGCAAAGTGGGACTTCTGAGCTCTGGAAGAGAAGGAGACTAGCCTCAGCCTCCTGAGCAAGGAAGGTCCAGGGTCCCCTGTGCCTTCCCCTACCCAGCACAGTGCCCATCCCAGCACCCACAGGACCCATTTCTATGCACACTGTCATGAGCATATTTCACCAGAAGCAGACAGAAGCATTTGTATCTTTTCACAGTCAGGACTTATTAAATAACAGTAAATTCATAAGCTATGTCAAAGTCACTGGCTGCAGTTCACCAAGTACTGCCAGCCTCACTTGGCAGATGTGGCCCTTGGCGTTCGCAGGTTCTTTTGTTCTTGTCTAAATGACTAGTATTAACTCTCAAATCACTTCTCACAATGATGTCTGTGTCTACACACGTGTGTTGCATAAAATGGCTAAAAGAAGGTTGAAGAGGCCTCGCTGAAGGCAAGCACAGATGCAGAGTCACTGTGGTGGTTATACTAACAGCCCAGCCCCAGTATTTCCAGCTGTAGAGCAGGGTCCCAACAGACAGCATTTCAAGCAGGCCAAGCAGGAGACCCTGCCAGGCTAAAGCCCCAAGGGTAGAACACTGAAGTTCCTCACCCTTCCATCTATGACACACGCACCCGATGGCCTGGTGATGGGCTTCTGATGACCACTGTACCCCAGTGTTTGGTGTCCCTCCTCGTACTTCATCATTGAAGGGAGGGGGTTGTGTTGTTCCAGTTATTGGTCTGGTGTGTTCCTTTGTCTTTCACTTTTTTTCTGTCTCTTGAGACAGGGTCTCCCTGTAGCCCCAGCTGGCCTGGAACTCACTATGTAGACCAGGCTGGCCTTGAACTCACAGAGATCTGCCTACCTCTGCCTCCC